TTTCTTCGGGAACATCATGCAAAAAGGTGATCATCAATCGCCACAAAACATGTAAGAGCATTTATATTTCTTAGAGAAAAGTATAAAATATGACAGAGATGATATTTTCATGTAAAAACTTAAGTTCGTCACTGTTTCTGCTTGATTTGAACTTTTAGGCATTTATATAAAAGAAACTAAATTTAGAATAAAATTTGTTCTATCTGTTATTCGATGTTCTTATGTATCGTCTATATAAAAGAGAAAACACGACAAAATGTGCGCGTGGAAAGGAGAAAAGAAAGGAGAGAGAAAAAGAAAAAAAGTAACAGAACAGGAAAAATGCCTAAATTTACTATAGGAAATCGCAAAGACCGTGGCGATCCTATCAGAAACTCAAAGTATAATTATAAGAAGCCCGCTGTCGGATTCGCCGTGAAATTCTGCATATATCGCCTTAGTTTCAACTAATTTGATGGTGCGCGGCAAAAGTACCTATTTTTCTAATGCAGTAATAGCAATGTTTGAAGTTTACATTTTGTAATTGTAATCGCGCACGTCTGTGTTATTGACAATGTTCGTGAATTGAATATAATATATTGTCTCTAGGCTACAAAAATTGACTTGTAACCTTTTATTTCGAAATTTGTACATAATTTTAAACTTCTATTTTAAGTTAACATCTAATTTTTAAGTTTTCCTTGTTTATATATAAAGAAAAAGAGAAAAAAATCCTACATCGCAAATTAAATAAAATAAAACAAAGTTAACTTAAATATAATTAAGTTAAGTCGTAGAAGTTAGTCAAACCGTTGCAGAAGTTGGGACGTGTCTTAAACGACGCTGACACCCCTATTACTCATATAACAAAAAATAAAGCATGTGGTCGCCATGGTATGTGGCTAAAGTGCGCAGTACTCAGAGACAAGAAAATAAGAAATTCTTTTTTTGAGCGCTGTTCTTACTTTGTCTATCTGTCTTATTTCAAGCCGGCATTTTCTGCTGTAAAACATATTTATGTATGAAATTCCAGATGTGTACTGAAATGTGAGAAGTATACAAATTAACATAAAACAGAATGAGAAATTTGTGGCACACTTTCTAAATATGGAATAACTGAATATTCACTTCCCACGCTTGTTCGATTCATTTGCTTAGCACTTTTTTTCTGCTGCAACTATGTTGATGAATATAAAATAACAAATGAGTTTAAATTTGCGCTTGAGGCACAATTACGAGGAGGAAAACAGTGCCTCTGCCATCAAAGTTTCTCAGAAATTAGGTTTGACTTGCTCTCGCATAGTAGACGGAATATTGCTCGCTAAGATTTTGATCTGACTAATAGCCTAACCGTTTCTTAATCAAGATGGGCCATTCTGTTAGAGTTTCTAGTAAAAAGTGTGCGATAATTTAAGTGAGGGTGAATAAATGAATAGCAAGGCTCTATCTATCGACTGAAAAAACTAGATGGATTTGCAAAATTAAGTACTGCTTTATACGAGAAATCCGAAAATAATATTGGTGAGTGGGGAAGGTAGAATGGTGTGGAGTTGAACGCTGACAGGTAAGTTAAAATTTTATTGCTTTTAAGTTTTTCTCTCTCCTTTTCGGATATATATATGCGTCTACTGAAAGTCAATGTATTGTTCTATCTCTCTTCACTTGAAAATGGCAGCCGTGACTTGACTGTCGAAATATTGTGAAAATAAATCTATGATCTGAATGAATCATGCTCTTCTCAGCAGTTCTCTTCTTCATCTCACTATATAATATGAAGTTGTTCAATAGTGCACTTTTCGTCCATCTCTTTTTATTGCATTGAATAATAATAATAATCACAATCGTTGTTTTGTGGAAATGGTTTTCTATGTGTTAAGTCAACTTTCTTATGACAATCGATGTATAGTTCATTACAATTGACAGTACGACCACGAATCTTTTGCGTTGTACTGAATGTAAAGGTAGACATTTGGAAGAAAAGCATAGCATATTCCGCTGCGACAGCTTTATTTATATCCTCGTAACAGCCTGTAATCTAATAATTTTAATATTAAAAAGAAATTATAGCCTCTGTTAATTTCTGTACATTGAAATATGTGCTGCTTTGAAGTAATCTACAGATTCGTTAGAATTGACTTCTGTCTGTTCTTTTCTTTTACATCTGTCTAACTTATTTGTCTCAATGAAAGTCTTTTGTTTAAAAAGTTTTTGTTCTTCTATTAAGCTATTCACGACAAATTTTCGTAGCAACTATTTTTCCTAGCAGCCACATTTCGTGGCGATCAATTTTCGTTCGATCTTTCTTCTTTCGACCATTTTTCGCTTTCCTGTTCGAAACGTTTTTTTTCCGTCAGATTGAGTATTATTAAATTTTGTGCGTTTAGTATATAGATCAGCATCCGCACCATCCAGTTCTCATTGGATATTTATACCACATTATACATGTTATGATAGACAACGATGTGATCCGTATTCTCCTACAATAAAAATAGAAGAATATGACTGTAAAAGAATTGATACAACACAGCCTTTGTTTGAATTTAGGGCTCGGGACAGTCCTTTGTTTGACGAACTGTGATATATGTTTGCAGCCCTGAATGAATTGTCTAGAAAATGTCCACATTCATTCAATGATCAACTATTATCGACTAATAATAACTTATCATTATTATTTCATTATAAAGGTTCATCTAAAATTCTGTCGATCCATCGTCTATTTGAGCCTCTCACGCTTGGTGAATGTTTTGGAGATATGAGCATTAATTATTACTCGTGTAATATTAGTTTGCCATATTTATTTATATGTGCTAATGGTCGACAATGTATACTACGCCTTGTAATTCACGATGGTGTTGGAAACTGCGATGATTTATCCTACGAATCAGCATTAGCGCCAGAATGTACAAAATCACAATTTGGTATTGATCCAGCACAATGCGTTGAATCATTTGAATGTAAATATTTACGTGGTATTATTCGATAAGAATAGAATGAATTAGAATTTCACAAATCTGCAGTGGTTTACAAACAACAAATGATGAAAAATTTGATTGTTATCAAGATCAGTGACCATGTATAAAACATTATAGAAAATGCGATAATGTATTTAAGTGTAAAAATGGTTTTTATTGATTGTCTTAGATCATCAAATGAAAGACGATTTTGTTGAGATAATTATTCAAACAGTACTCGACTAATGTATAGTTGTTTAAATTCAACAATTTGTATCAATCTGACTCATCTTTGTGATCGTACACAAGGCCGTCCATTTGAAGATGATGAAAAGAATGCTTTGTCCATGGTTGAACTTGTCTGTGGGGATCCAATACGTGTTGCAATGTAATCAGTTTGGAAGAACAGTAGAAAATGTCATATTTTTCAAATCTGGAAACAAAACTCAAATCAATGAAATTTCTAACATGTAGAAAAACTGGTATGAGACTATGTATGAATATTAGAAGGAAACGTTTCTTCTCGATCGATCTCGTCACTGGCGCCGAAGGTCGATGTAATGGTGGTAGGTATCATATGGATTTACCTGAGTTAATTTGTTTGAAATGATTAATATAGTTCTGTACCGTTCAAAGCCTCACCAACATAAGATCCACCAGTAACCAACACTTTTCCATTCGTTAATACGGATGCTGTGTTTCACTTCGTGTAATATTCATGCTACTAGTTGTCCAAGTCTCTGTTGATGGATCATACAATTCAGCAGTATTTAAAGCATCATGATCAAATCCACCCGTAACTAATACTTTTTCATTCATTAATATAGATGCTGTGTGTGCTCGTCGTGCATGATTCATACTACCATTTTTGAACCATTCTAGACGGAAACATTTGAATGTTTTTTTTGGAAGAATATTTATAGTGGAACCATCAAGATCGTCTAATCATGTGGGATTATTTTTAGATTTTGCAAAATGAAAATCATTTAGTACTCTTGATACAAAGTTTTTAGAATTTCTGGGATAGCAAAAAGTCTTAAATATGTCGAAAGAAATAGTGCATGAAACGACACAACAGTGGGCTTCGCATTTTTGATAAAGAACCATATATGTGGATAACAGGTAAATTAGGTTTGTAGTTTCTACTTGTCGTACAAGAACTAATGCATTTTCGCCTACATGCAGCTTCTACTGATTATAATCATCCTAATGGAACTCCTCAGGTGCAGGAGGTACGAAGAGAAATGGTCGGATGTGTATATCTTCGACTAATTCCTGTGATCCGATCCAAAAGCACTTCTCGTGTCCGTTTCCAGCTTGTTTCCCGCCAGTTCCTGCAGTCAGAAACGATATCTAGATACGATTGTTCCTTTTCAGACTAAGGAATACGGTGATTTATCATGATCAAAGGATAAAAACCGTATTCTATAGTGTCCGCAGCTCGGATCCGGCCTTTTCGCGCCCGGATATGGTCCCATAATTTGTCTTTTCCAGTCGCGTGATGTCGCTGGCCTCTAATAGAAAATTCTAAGGTTTTTTTATCAATGAGGCATGACCGATTCAGTTATGCAAAGAATCAATGCAAATATTTTTATAACGGATTAAAATTGACCTTTCTCAAGGATCTCGTCAGATGGTTTGCTTTGAAAAGCACAGAGTTAAGGCACGACAAGCTCCATCCACACCGTATGAGGGTGTTACTATTCCTTGTTCTTATTGAGCAAGAACCGATAACTTTCATACGATAAGGAAAGAGCACGATATTACGGACCGCTGCACATGCTCTGCTCTTCAAAAATCGAAAAAAATACTTAATGGAGACAAGCAGAACACGTGCAGCGGTCAGTAATATAGTGCTCTTTTCGTATCGTGTGAAAGTTACCGGTTCTTGTTTCATAAGAACAAGGAATAGTAACACCCTCATACGGTGTGGATGGAGCTTGCCGTGCCTTAACTTTGTCTTTTTCAAAGCAAACCACTTGACAAGATCCTTGAGAAAGGTCGAAACCGTTCGTGGTATCTTCTTTTGATTCTTTCAGAAATGAATCCTGTTAATGAGTCTCTAGTAACTAAAGAAGCGGTTATAAAACTAAATTAAATAATTGTTGATCTAACAATTGAAGTCCTAAACGAATAAATTGTTGTGCAACTTTTTCTTCAATGGCTGATTCAGATGTAGATGTAGAGATTGAAAAAGTATTCTAGGTGATATTTTCAAATATATTAGTCGCCAATACGAAAAACATATATTACTTGTCACAATTATGAATTTTTATGAGAAGCGTACCGATGATTTTGATTCATATTCGTCGACGACGTTATGATACCTTTTTTCTGCTCATTTATCTTCCTGGACAATGGCTGTGAAATTAATAGTTGACTTTATGATTGTGCCATCCGTTTACATTTATTATCAGACCTCGTTGTCCTATTTCCCTGAATTGTACTATCTTTTGATTCCGAATCTTTAATAACATAAGCGAAATATCTATACGTATTACGGTACCTATACTCATCCGACAACGATGATATCTACTATTTTACATAGTAGATTGTATATTATGTATTGATTTATTTTGTGGATCATTTACATAGATATTAGCCACTTTATAAGATCTATAAATTCGAAACATTCATGTTTGTTGTGATAACTTGTCTCACCCTCTACCCTGTAGATAGTCTATCGTTACCGCGTGAATCAGGCGGAGTATTTGAAAAACTGCCAGTAGCGTCCGTTAGTTGTTTTAAAGTGCTCATGAATCACGTGTTTTCCAAGCAAATACTGAAGTTTTATTTTTTACGTCAAACTTTCACATTGAACGAATGTCAATTAAGACGACGAATGATCTAGAATTGTCTCATACGGATCTACCTTTACAAGTGAGGCAACATCAGCCTGAAAATGACGTCAAGTTCATGCACAAGGCTTGCTCTGATGGTGCAAAAGAAGATCTATAACATGCTTCCTTATTGTTACAAAATCAAGACAATTGTTAACAGACATCAAAGACAAAATCAAGACAATTGTTAACAGACATCAAAGACTCAAACAATGACTGTTTATCGTGGACAAGGGATGTCAGATGAGGAGTTCGCGAAACTGCAACAGAACGAAGGCGGGCTTCTATCAATGAACACCTTTCTATCAACAAGTACCGACTAAGACGTCGCTCTTCGATTCGCTCGTCAATCACTAGGTCACCCAAATATACAGTCGATTCTTTTTGAGCTGCAGATCAACATCGACAAATGTCAACAACCATATGCAAGTCTTGGCGACTCGACTGCATTTCCAGAAGACGAGGTTATCTTTTCATGGGTACTGTGTTTTGCATTGATTCTGTCCAAAAGATGACTGACGATGAAATATGGAAGGTCCGACTGAAACTGGGTGGAGATGAGGATGCTGTGCTGAAAACGCGAAGTGGTCAAATGAAAACTCAGCTTGGAGATATGAATGATCTAAACACGTTAAGTGTCACCTTGCTCATAATGGGTGAGAATGAAAAAGCAGAAAACTTTCTGCGAATGATACTTAACGATACACCAGCCGATAATCCAACTATTGCAACAGCATATGATAGCATGACACTTCTGTATCGTGTATAAGGCAAGTATGATACAGCATTGAAATGTCATGAGAAAGCTCTTGAAATACAATTAGTTCATTTCCACCAAATCACCCTGATCGTGCAACAACTTGTAACAATATAGCAGAGATGTATCGTGCACAAGTTAATTATGATACAGCATTGGAATATCATGAGAAAGCGCTTGAATTACGATTGGTTTCAGTTCCACCAAATCACCCTCATCCTGCAACAACATATAATAACATGGCAATTCTGTATCGTGCACAAGGCAAATATAATACAGCATTGAAATATCATTAGAAAGCTATTGAAATACGATTGGTTTCGCTTCCAACAAATCACCTTTGTGTTGCAATATGAGATTGTTCTTCTGTTCAAACTCAGTTTTTTGATTACTGATCTCTATGATCAGCTTCGAGCTAACGCATGATTTAGCTCTTTTATCGTTATATAATAAGTCTAAATAATGTTCTCTTGTTTTTAGGCAGTGTTATGTTCTAAGTTGAATTGATAAAGAATGAAGGTTGTATCAGTGATAGTAGCATAGACTCGTCCTTTTTCCGGCACCAACATTTCCGCAGAGATTTTTCCGAACTTCAGTCCGTTTTCAGAACGAATGAATGATATGGTCAGCTACAATTCTATTTGTAGTTTAAGGATCAGTCGAGTTGTACAGACTAAGGCTTTTGCTTTAAGTAATACTAACGCTGAACACTGTACTAACTTGCTGCTATTTTTCCGAATCTTTACTTTAGCAGTCCACAATGGATATTGAGGGTGGAATTAATGAACATGCAATTGTGGAGTAAGTGATTCTTATGACTAAATTATTAATGAGTCAAATCAAAATACTCGAGTCTATAGTACTATCTCACAGAGAAGAAGTCCTTGATGATTTCTTACCTTAACAACTATCATTCAAAATTCGTTAGTCAATATAAGGTTGAAATTAGTCAGACCTATTTGTACCAAAGCAACAACTAACATTTTATTTTATCTAAAATGTAGAAGCTTTAGATTGAAAACTGCAATCATTGTCACATATGTCAAAAATATATCGATGAATATACGACTATACACACGTGATTTAATGTGTTTTTTTTCTTGCAAATATCTGAGCTAAAATATTGAAACGGAAAGAAACGTCTAGCTAGGGAAGCCGTCAAACATAGTGGAATGCGAAGAATGCAGACCAGCGACATCGAGTTAGTGTATGACCAGATCGGAGAGTACTCGAAAGCACTAAAATTCAATGAAAAGGTCCTCCAAATCTGTCAAACGTCGCTCCATTCAAATCATCATGATGGGACTGACAGCTACAGCTACATCGGCTCGGTGTACCACAAGATCCGAGAGTACTCGAAAGCACTTTCATCCCATGAAAAATCGCTTCAAATCAAACAAAAATCTCTTCCTCCAAATCATCCTGATTTGACTCCCACCGGCCATTAAACCAACATTATACTGCTGTAGCTGGCAGACAAATCCGGATGATTGCCAGGGGGCGAATTTTGGAAAATCTCGAAATTGTTTTGATGGATCTCTAGTGCTTTCGAGTACTCTCGTATATTGTCCGATCCGATGTTGTTGTAGCTGGGAGTCAAGTCAGGATGATTTGGAGGAAGAGATTTTTGTTTGATTTGAAGCGATTTTTCATGGGATGAAAGTGCTTTCGAGTACTCTCG